CTAACAAAAAAATTGTTTGTGGCACGGATGAAACTTAAAAGAAACATACTGCAGCTTTTATATTTATTTACTTCTAACAAATAAAATTAAATTTATATTTACTATAATTTTTACATTTTTGTACATAACTAGAATTCTTAGAAAGTAGAAACCAAATAAGTTTCTTTAATACTACAATTTGTTTTTTACTAAAACTTCTGTGTGAAGTTTTAAGCATTATGTAAACAACAGCAAAAAGTTATTGAAAATATGTGATGTACTTCATTTCTGTTGTAACTATATAAAAATGTAGTGACCGAATATTTTAAAAACAAATATATAAAAATTTATTGACCGAATATTTTTAAAACCTAGTTTGAATTATTGGACGTAGTAAATTTAAATGAACAGTTTGTTATAGAACATGGCTCAGTTGTCAGATACCACAATGAAGATTTGTGACTAACTAGTTAGATTGGTAATTTAGAGAATCATACATTACAGCAGGTTTCAGGAATTGTTTAGTTGTAAATGGTGGTCCGAGTTACCAGGTGCAAAAAATGAAGTTGCGTTAGTGACTTGTTTAAGGAAGATAGGGTGGAAAAAAAAATTATTAGTTACTTTTTAACTTTCTGGATTTTATCAGGTCAGTATTTGATCAATAAACAACATAAACGTTTTTAAATTCACAAAAATACTATAGGTAATACTGACTACTTAAACCATTTTTCAGTACCCACATTTAACAACATTGCTGTCCGAGGAAGAAGAACACGTAACATTTACCAGGAGAGAAGAAACCAAATAAAACAGGAATCAGTGGAATAATTATGCAGACTTAAAATCCATGGGTAATGATAATTTTTAAGAGAAGCTACGATTTCCAAGCCCACTAGAAGAATTACACATATATATTATAAACATAAGCTTCCTTTTTCAGCAGACTAGTCAAAGTCTTCTTGTTACCAATTTCAATCTGTAACACTATTCATACTGTATTACTTAACTCATTGAGACTCGAGTGCATGGGTTCAACACATCTGTTTAATGGTTTGTTTAACTGCAATGCAAAAACAAACTACAGGATCAAATAGTTTTAAAACTTCAGAACTACTTTTGACAAATTATATAGCTTCTGCAAATAAGATACTCTATTTTTACACATATATCGGTACGAATTCACAGCTTTTACATAGCAAAGATTTCGTTGGGATACATTTTTTAAATAAACAATTAAAAATTGTTCAAAGGCACATTTTCCTCTGGCAACATATCACTAAGCTAAATTTTTATTGCTTCTTTCCAATTTCTATTCAAATCTCCACTGAACGGTAACTGTTGCTACTTTAAATTTCAAACAAATAAACAAAAAAAGGAAAAGAGCTTTCATGATGTATTTAGATCCCTTGTGCCTGTTAAAGCTGAAATATAGGCAATTACAGCACCCAATCACAACAGAGATTCAGAAACAGTGACTGATTGTAAAAAATCAATAAAACTACACTTGTATTTAAGTTATTAGGACAAATTAGCAATATTTTTTTCCAAAATATTAGACTTCCCTCTTAGGAGATACGAGTGTGATGTTATGCTCAGAAACAATTCACGAAATTTCTGAACACTAATTGTTTCATTAGTAGCCACCTAGAAACCAACACAAAATCAAAATTTGGGATTTAAAAATTTATGTATAAAATTAAATAAACTTTTTTATATACAATAAATTTCAACTCTGAACTATTTTATTCTCAAATGAGTAAAAGTTAATTTTCTTTTTAATTCAATGGTGTAATATTTTGCCCTCGAGACAAACTGCATCCATACACGCATGAGAGGGTTAATTAACGAGACATTTTGGGTCATTTATTTGAGGACACCACTGAATAATAATATTTTTCAAACTGTTTACTATTGTACAACATTCATGTCTAGTGTGTGCTTTATAGTTATAAATACTTTTTTGTCTACTTATTTTAACCTTTATAGCCGAAACTGAAAGATTTGTCTAGACTGGTAGTAAGTTATTGTATCACAGGTCATTTTTTTATTACAAGAATATGCTACAAATAACTTGAGTAGTCGAACGTAAACAATTATGGATACATGATTCTCAACATTTAATTTTGGGTCCACACAATCTAACTATAACATGACTATAGCAAAACATTTTTAGTCCAAGAAAGCAGAAAAAGTCTCCAACAAAACTTTTTTCTGCTAAGCCTAGTTATCATCTGTACAGATTGATGCTCAGCTTGCGATGTTTGATCACTTTTAAACCTCTTACTAGGGCTTGTAATATAGTTCAACATATACATTATTTCAAGATCAGAGGTCTATAAATAAGTTATTATTAAATTTTCATTTTAAAAAGATATGCCAATTTGGCAGCATTTGTATTATAGAAGAAACAACAGTAGTGTAATTTGTATGATTACTGTTTAATTCCCAACTATTTCTAGCTATTGGAAAGTCAAGGTAAGGTTAAGACATGTGTGCTCAATGTTGATTAAAACAGTAAATTTTTATAACATATTTCATCATTATAAGATGTGTCATCATTCTAGTTATATGTCTATAATTTAAAGCAGTTAATGCTGTGATGTTTACGACTTGTTTTTCTCATGAAAGGAATTGTAATAACATGTGAACTGAAATGCCTGAAACCTCAATTTAGAACCAGAAGGCTAATAAGAGAAATCTGATTAATCAGATGGAAAACAAAGTTTATAATAAACATTATAAATATAGGAATATCAAAAAACATCTTCAATTATAGACATGTCAGAACTGAAAATGTTTTGCGATAATATCACGTTTCTAAGCTAACTTAACATTATAATGTATTGCAAGTTATTTTACAAGCTCTCTTTAATAGCACACTTACTGATTAATTGTTCCACTTTTCAGTTCACGCATTTAACAATATCATTGTTCAAGGAAGAACATGGAATATGTAGCATTAAAGACTATATACTAAATAAAAGAGGAGTCAAATTCAAAGGAATAATTAGAACACACACACTGACTTTTAAGTGCACGAGTAATACCGATGCGTTAAGTCATCATTTACAAGGTTTTTATGAGCCAACTAAATCAATTACACATACATTATGAACATACGATTCCTTTCTAGTAGACTAGTCAAAAATACTTTTATTATCAATTTCAATCTATAACAATAATTGGCAATACGTATGCTTCAAGCCAACATGTTCACATGTGTCTTTTAAAATTCATTCTCTCATGTTAAAAATAGTTACAACATTGAGAATTAACAATAGCTAACATAATCCCCAATCTTTTGCAGGAAATGTTATTGCTGAATACAAACTTAAGAGGCCCATACATTTTGATGCTCCAGTGACAGTATATTGAACATTACCAATTACAACAAATCTGTATCTACTTCATTCTACATAGTTCGATCTTCAAGCTTATCTAACATTGGATTTCTTATAATTCAAACATAAACTGGCCTAACAGGCCTTATAACTCTTGAAAAGACCTGAATACTAGACTAGTTAAACCAATAAACTGTGCTACGAAATAAGTTCTGGTGTGTTTGTTATAATACAGTTAAAAAACATCTGTCAATGCACAGACATTCGTGGAATCTTTTTAACTTTTGCGTACATAAAATATGAACCATGCTATTCTAAAACCAAAATACTTCTAAATGGATCATTAAGCAAAGTGATGACTTATATTAAAAATTGATTTTACCAAAAAACTTTGTCATTACAAAAATAATGCATAATCAACACATTTCTAGAAACATTCTTTTATGCTGGCTTCACATTTTTTTGGTTTTAATATATATATATATATATATTTGACAAGTTATACCTGAGTACCAAACATACACACAAACAAAATGAAAAAAATAGCAGGTTCTACAAGAGCTAAATATGTGTGTATATATATATATATGTGTGTGTGTGTAATTGACAGAAAACAACAAATATGTAATGTTACAAACTTAAAAGCTATGAAATATAGTAATTTTCCTACTCTGCTAAAAAGGATAATTTTCTATTATTTACATTTACACCATTCTATATTTCTACTGTTGTTATACCACAATTGATTTCATAAATGAATCTTTCTACCTGTTTATAAGAAAGGAGATGTGTTAGTTTAAAATCTCACTGTAACAAGTCTAAGTAAAGCTCTCTCAGGCAGTTTTATAACATGAACAAGGTTGGAGGGGGTCATATAATGAATATTTACCAAAAGTGTTCATGGCTGAAGAGAGTTATAATAAGTTAACTCAGAAAAAAAACACCTACATCACCATTCATGCAATGCGTGTTTGCGACTCTGTATCTATCTAGTTGGTTTTTTTTAACGTATTAAGTCTCATGCCTTACAAGCTGTAGTTTTTTCTAGAGTTTATTGATTTGTAACTATTTCACGCATTTATTACAAATTACTGTATTTTATTTTTGCCAGAAATATTTACTCATTAACCTAACTGGAAGCAAAAATTAGTTTCTTGGCATTTTCACATTTGTGATTGAACAACAGAAGGCATAACACGAACAGATGTATTTTTCGTTGGCTTCTGTTGAAAAGGCCATTAGAATAGTGCTTATAGACATATAATTTGAATTATTGAAGTCAGATAAATAATCTTCCTCATTTACATAACATACACAGTGCTTTGCTAATTAATTTCCTTCTAATCACTGATTTACCTGAGAAGGAAATAAAAGTGACTCACTCTAAGGTGATGAGTAATGAAATGGAATGTTTTAATAAACCTATTTATAATAGCATCACAACAAATATTTGCAACACATGCCAATTTTTTAGAGAACTTGGCATTACCTGAAAAACATAAGCATGAAGTTTACATTGGTTCAACAAAAACCAAAAGAGAGGTAACAGTACATACCTTTTTCTCAAAAGTTTTTTCCAGTAAGGCATGAATATAACAACAAAAGGCCTCTAGTTAACATATGATATGCTCTAAGCAAATACACGTGCTAGAAACTTTATGACACAATTCTTACTCTTGCACTCTTTTTTTTTCCTCTCCATTTCGTACCATCTTGTTTCAAGACTGAAAACG